TCTTTCGACTGTCAGGTTGAGAAATGGTGCTCCCCTGTAACTAACAAAACGATAGCGCAAATGACTCAAGTAGACAGGGAAACTCTGTGTTTCTCAGCATTCGCTCGTATGAGGACGCGGTGAATCTATTTATTATTCATTGGCTCTCGATCCTCTTCTTGATAGTTCTAGGAATCATTTTAAACGTCAGAATTTGCATGACCATGGTGAGGAGGAAGCGTTACAAAAGAAACGCATCAAACTTCTTTATACTTCACCTGTGTTCAACAGAGTTGGTTTATCGCCTGCTTGTCTTTCCTTTGACTATTTACTTTGTCATTCCAAGGTCCGCAACCAAACAAATTCTCTGCAAGTTGGTATTTTTCTTCTCAGGGACTTGGCGATCGACTATATTTGGCAGCCTGGCTGCCATAGCTATCGATAGATACCAGCACGTTGTCCATCATTTCGAGTCTTTGAAATCAACAAAGGGAAGTCGTACTCCTCTTGTCCTTATGGTCTGGTTGTACGCTGCATTGACATCGTTTCCCTTGGCTATAGGTGTTAAAAACGTGCCTGTCGTGAGCATCCCTGAAGCCTAAAGTATGGAATTTAACAACTGCATTGACATAGCTCTTTGTAGCATTCCACAAACCTCTTTGGATCAGTTTGCAACCATGCTTAATTTTTTTCTCGCGTTTGTTTTTCCATTGGCTCTATTAACTGCATTGTACACTAAAATGGCCATCTTCTTGCATAAACGAGTTAGCAATGGAATGATACATATTTACTATGGCCAGTTCTAGAGAAATCAAAATGATCTTTCATCATAATTTATGACTTGAAGTCGTAAAGTGAGTGGTACATCTTCCTAAGTACAATCATCAAGGTCCAATTTTCATATGTGGCTTGAGTAATGAATGCTATTGGCGTAGCTAAGTCTGAAATTTTTGAAAAATGGTAAGATTGTTAATCACATTTTTCAGTTTTATTTTTTCTGTATTAAAAGTAACAAACTGTTCTTTCACGCGAAATTGTGAATGAAATATTTCGCATGTTCACCTCAGCACGAACACTGCTGTTTGTAGAAAAAACTATCCGATTTAACTTTTCACGTCATCCATAATGATTTTAACTTAACAGGGATTAAAAAGGAGTTAGTACATTGTTTACTTACTAGCATTTTAAGTTTGAGGGTACAACACTGATAGTGGTGCGCTTCCCCTGTATGAAATTTGCCATTAGTTATTAGTGAATCAATATTTGATGTATAGACGTAGACAACTACTATTCTTGATCCTTTGTGAAGCTCCTGCAAGAAGCGTTATATAAGAATAAATATGGCCAAAAAGTGAACGCGTTCTAACTGATAACGTATGACAAGAGCGCTGATGAAATTCTTCTCTTACAGGTGGGCAGTGTCGCCCTGGAGACCCTGCTCTAAGACTTGTGGAAAGGGTCTCCAGTACCGCTCGGTTCGTTGCATGCGTCAAACTACAAATGGCACCACTGTGGAGAGCCCTAATCATTTGTGTCCCAGAGATAAACCTTCTGGGGTCCAAAACTGCATAAAGAAAGCGTGCCATTTGAATTGGGTGGTCGGTCCATGGTCTCACGTAAGTTCTAATCGTAAGTAAGTTTTTGTAAAACAGCTGAAATTCTCGCGATCGCTTTCGCGAAATGTTCACACACGAGTCAAATTCGTAGCTGACACTTTACCTGACTGTTTGAAGTGACACAAGTCACAAACTGATCATAAACCAGCTTGCTGTGCATACCACCTTACTTCTCTTTACTTTTTTTTTCTTGTGGTATCTCGCAGTGCCACGGTCTCTGCGGTGTTGGACACCGTGTGAGGAATGTCCGCTGTCCAGTGGCTGGTAAGTGTGCACACGGGAAGAAACCGCCCAGCCGAAAATTCTGCTCAAGAGAATCGTGCTATCAATGGATTATTGGACGATGGAGCAGTGTGAGTACCTCTAAGACTACAATATAGCCATTCAAGGTTAATATATAAGCACTTTATCTATTTCACCTCAACACCTACAATTTCGTCAAATCCGTAACGCTTACAGACAATGACGTTTAAACTTTTCTAGAACCGGAAGAAAACCAAATACGAAAAGAAAAAACCGAAAGTTATGTTTTTAGTGGCTTTGGTAATGACGTTTCTCACCGCTGAGAACGATAATCGATTGCTGAAAGATTTGCCACAGGCCGATTTTGGTCGTGTACCTGAAAGACTTACTCTGTCGGTAAGGACAAAGTCAATAACCGAGAATTTTGTATATTGAAAATTACGCCCATTGTTTTTGTAATGATTCAAGGCTTTTTTCATCTTGAGCCTCAGCGCGAACGCGTTTTGGTGCTAAGGCTCAGCGCTAGCTAATATGTTTTTTTTTTAGGGGGAGGGGGGCGATTATGAATATTCCTAATAAACGAAACTCTCTCCTGTTTCCTGTTCATTTTTTCTTTATCCCTGTTGTATTTTTTTTGTCAGTGTTCCGCTGGTTGTGGTTCAGGAGCACAAAGACGGTCAGTGACTTGTTTGCACAGACTAACAAGGCGAGTCGGTGAAAAATGCAGCGCAGACTCTAAACCAGCATCACAAAGGCAGTGTAAAGTCAAGGAATGCAAGAAAATAGGTATGTGTACGTATTTAACCATGCATGGCATAAATTAAAGTAGTGTTCATTGGACAGCAATTGCTCCTTTAAAGCTGTAAGTCATCTTCTACCAATTTTGCAGAGATTTGAGGTTTAACCGTGACTGGTCATGATTGCTCTATCAAGCGGAGATTTTAATCGTCTAAAACCAAGGTGCCCCCCCTCCAAGAAGCTAAGGGGAACTCGAGCCAATATTTATGACTTCTACTCGTGTTCAGCATTATTTGTTTCTCCATTTATCCACAAAAGGGAAGAGAATAGCTAGAACATAAAGGCGCCTTTGAAATAACTGCTTTCTCTTATTAATTACTGTCAGGCTTTTACCGAAAAAATGCGTTTTTAAAAAATACTCACCGTTATCTAACCGTGCCTTCATCGATGCTATCATTCGCCCCCTTAAAACCATCAGCTTTCAAACGCTTTGTTTAACATCATCTCGAATCTTGTGAGAAAAACGTCGAACGTATTTTTATTCAATATGATTTTTTACCAGATGTTGTGTTAGAGACAGTGTGTCACAGAGATAAGTACTCCAGCAAGCAGTGCCGAGCAGTGCTGAGATTTGACCTCTGCTCCACAAGGGGGTGGCTGGACCTCTGTTGTAAGACATGTGAGGATGCTGGTCGAAACTAAATGTAGGTTTTTTAAACGCGTCAATAGAAAGTCTGATCTTTGAAGGGGGATTCTGAGGGGAAATTTGGGTAGTGGTTTGCAACTAAGACCCTTAAACCCAGATTTTCTTTAGACAAATCCCATCATTGCACCCTCCAGTCTATAAAGAAACAATTTTATATATTGTGGCATGTCCACCATATGATGCCAAATCCATCCCTTTCAGAGGTGACCAATAAGTGATTTCTCCTTTTAATATCAGTCAATTGCCACGCAGAAAGGTGACGGAAACAAACAAACAAAAAAATGTCAAA